CCTAGCACTTTTTCTGTTATATGTGCCAATCTTCACCAACTCTTAACATTCCTTCATTTATAAAAGTATCACATACAGGAGATAACAGAGTTTTCAATCCCTTTTACAGAATTCCTAAGGCCCTTCAAATTAGGTAGATGTTCATGAAGGTAGTATCTCTGAACAGGCATGTTCAAGTACCATCATGGGAATTCTCCCTCAATGCAATGGTAAAGATGGTAGTGACGACAGCTGCTCTATGCCGAACCCAGGAGTTAACAGGGCAAGGTCTCTTAAGAGTCAGAAGATTTAATGTACATACAAGTCACCTGGGGATCTTGTTAAAATGCAGAGTGTGATTCAGCAGGTCACAGGTAGGGCCTGAGAGTCTGCATTTTCAACAAGTTTCCAAGTGTTTGTCTAGAGAGCACACTTAGGTTGGAATAATCCACAAGGCATTCCAGATAAATAAAATTCTAATAATGACACCTACAGACTTTTGGTACTTAATACTGGGACCACTATTTCAAATGCCTAGTGTTTGATTAGATAATATAAATGGGAGGAGCGATCCAGTAGTGAAACAAGAGATCAGCGAGTACCCAGCTGCTATGGAGAGAGGAGAGCCCAACACTGTCAGATCTTCTGATTCTTCAAGAAAAACCAGAAATTCAGGTTTGTGGGAGAACTCCCCTAATTTTTAAAATGTTAACAACTAATACCATTTTTGAAGGCACTATGGAAGTTAGACAAACCAGGTCTAGCCCCTGGACCGCTCTGATTCCCACACTATCCCTTACTAGATCCAATGCACAATTGAGTTCTGATTACCCCTTGAACAGAGAGCAGCAAGAAACTCAAAACTGCACAGCTTGGGTCTCTGCCACATTTTAAGACCTTAAACTTCTCTCCTGTAAAGAATGTGGAATAAAGCATAGGGACAGGTAAAAAAAAAAATCTCAAGAGAAGACCTTCTGTGTCTTGGATATCATGAAAAAAAATGGTTCAGGCAAGGGATTGCATTAATTTTGTTGGACACACAGGGAAAATGTGAGGATAAAAGAAGAAAATTCAGCATAAAGAGAAATTTTGAAGTAAGAAGTGCCCAAGAAGTAAGGAGTAGTTATTTTAAGAAGATCACCATCATCATGATTTATGTTTAAATAATTACATATGTATCTACAATATGCACTTAAGTATGAAATATGGTTTATTGGATGTTCCCCACAATAAAGTCATGAAACAGAATAGCACATTTCAGAATTAATCATGTGAGGAAACTATTCATTTTACTTGTAAACTGAAACTTTAAATTTAGTTGTCAAATCAGAATAGATCATATGTTAGTTACATTAGTAAAAATCAACAATAAATTTTCAGACAAAAAATGACTGGAAGAAAGGAAATGGGATCTATGAACATATTTATAAGTATTCAGGCAATGGAATAAACACAGTCAGCAAAAAAGGCCTAAAAGTTAAGGCATTGTCTCCAGTTGCAGTAAAGAAAGTCAGGGCAAAGGTTTTAAGAAGACTATGAATATTGGCTGTAGAATCAGAAAGAAGAGGGACCATCTTAGAGAAAGAGAAAGAAGCTAGAGCAGATCTCACCTAGGAAGACAATCCACTGCAGAGAAAGATCTGGCACCATGTTAAGCTCTCCACCTCGGAGGACCACTGGCACAAAGGTCTGAGCCACGCAGTGGATCTCTTAAGCACAAGTTATGAGATTGAGAAATCATGAGTCCAGGAGGAAAACTAACTCAGGTATGACTTGAACAAGTAAGTAGCACTAGTACTCTGGGCAGACGACTGATCCTGAATATTGGAAGAGTCAAAATGTCCAGCAAGAAGAGGGCAACATCAGAAGGTTTGGGATACACAAAGGCAGGCAGCTCCAGTGACACGGTTACTT